TGAGTTGGGAATAGAGTATCTGCTTTGGGAGACAGTGATCGAGTATTCGGACAACGTGGCTGGTCCAGCGGAGTTGATGCTGGAGGAACATTGCTTCAGTGCTGGTGGTCTTTGCCTCTTCCAGCATGCTGACATTTATCCGCCGGTCTTCCCAAGAGATTTGCACGAGCCACTGCATCAATATCCCCTACATCTCCTGCAAGATACAATACCTCTATGTGTATTACATCTGACTTGTCATAATGGCAGATGCTGCTTTACTTAAACTTTAATGTGGCTTTTATTTTGTTTGAGGTATCCTAATCTAAAACAAGGCTGGGAAAATATCTGGTTCTCCAGTTCTTGTTATATTTCAATTTCCATCAGCTTTAGACAACATAGGCAACAAAGAGAGATTATGGAAGTTGCTATCCAATGATATCTGGACAGCCTCTTGTTTCCAATTTCTCATCGAAAGTGGATGAGCACCCTCTGTTAGCTCTGGCTCCCCATGCGTGGGCATGAGAGTAGCCTGCCACAAGGATGGAAAAATATCAAAAACATCCAGGCATCCCTTGGGCAACGTCAAGTTTCTCAAGTCGCTCTTGTCACCAAAAACAAAACAAAACAAAACAAACAAAAAAACCGCCCTAAGCAAGCTATTTCTACAAGCTGCTGCTTTGATAATTGCCACTAGATGGTGATGTCTTCCTCTGTTATGAAGGAAAGTCTCAAGTGCCTGTATTCACTTTATGAGCAGCCAAGTAAGAAAAAAAATCAAATTGAAAAAATAAATAAATAGGAAGTAAGAAATCAAATATACAAAACATAACAAATACTACAAATATGTATTTAGAAAAGAGGGCAGGATAAATTCCCCTTAAGACCATTGATGAGCTGGACTACTGTAGGAAACTTCCCTTTCATGTCCTCATACTCTCCCCACCAATCTCTTCCAGAGTTGTTGACCTAAGTTGGTTTTTATTTATCATATCAGAAGCAGACCGAAGTCTTAATGTATTTTTTTAAAAATCCACAAGGTTTAAGAACTTGGCATTATACTAATTGTCCTTAGACCAATAGCTGGCCGCTTGGAGTGCCTCTGGTGTTGCTATAAGGAGGTCCTCCATTGTGCATGTGGCAGGGCGCAGACTGCATTGTAATAGGTGGTCTGGGGTTTGTTCTTCCCCACACTCGCATGTTGTGGACCACAAAGAAGATCCTCCATTGTGTATGTAACAGGGCTCAGACTGCATTGTAATAGGTGGTTTGCTCTTCCCAAAACTCGCGTGTTGTGGACTTCACTTTGTGGCCCTATTTCTTAAGGTTGGCTCTAAGTTGATTAGTGTGGAGGAAAATCAGGCTTGCTGTCACAACAGGAATCATCGCCTTGTTCCTGATTTGCATGTCTTGTTTTCACTACTTGCCTGTTGACACTTTTCTTCCTTTGTCCCCTTGGTACTGCCTTTTAAGAAACTGCAGCAGCTCCAATGGCACTGTTTTGTTCACATTGCAACATTTGCTGGAGACAGTAAAGATACTCGCAATTCAGAGTGGGCCCAATGCTTCGTCTTTTCTACTTGCATGCTCCTCTCAGCCAGGAGGACAAGAAAATGTGACTGGCAGAATGATGAAAGGCATGCAAGACATCTTGCAAGAGTGCAGCCGCATCACCTTCTGGTTCCTCGCATTGTAACCCCACAATTGCTTGCTGACTCCTTCTGACCTCCAGTGTGTTCACTTCATTTTTCTAAAAGATATTCTTGATCTTAATTGTGGCACAATTTATCTTTGCCTCTTTTGAAGCCATTCCATGAGAAAGAAGGGGGCAGAGGAATGGAATGTGACAATTGGGTCAGATTTTTAAACTACAAAAAAAATGGACAGAATAGGAGCAAAGCACAACACCTACCTTGATTCTTTCTGTCTGCAGAACCTGGTAATGGGAGGATTGAAGAATCATAAATCAGAATCAACTCCAAACCCAATACCCTCATTTGTTTTCTCCAAGACCTTCCCAATCTTTTTGACTCCCAGAGCCCTATTTAGAAACAATTTCTATGGCAAAACCCCTTGGCATACATTATGTCTTACAGGTTAATTGTGTTTAGGAGCAGTGTTATGGGAGGAGGGAGTGGGGATAGATAGTAAGGGGATCGAAATAATTGCACAATGTCATTTCAGTGAAATTATATATTTTTTCTTGTCCATAGGTTTTTTTTTATTAGTATGCTGTCCTTATAAAATATCTAAATAGCAAGACTTACAACCATCTGTGTTCAAGGTAAAATGTACTAATGGGTCAATTATCTAAATTATATATTTAAAACTTTGAAATTTACCATATGTTTTTATTTATTTTATTTACCTGGAGTGGCTGTGGAGCCCCTGGGAAGTGCACTCAGAGCCCTTAAGGCTCTGTAGACACCAGTTTGAGAACCACTGCTCTAAGGTAAAAGCCCATTGACATTTGTGAGGATCATTCCAACAAGGGATTTGTGATGACACTTGTAAGTCAGTACGATTCTCCTCCATATCCCCCATACATGTGCATCTGCGGTGCATTATGCCACATGAAAGACAGAAATGTTTTGTTTGGCATAAGCTTTTGTAAACTGCAGCCTACTTTATCAGATCTTGGTGTGTTTCTTTCTCAGGGAGAAGGGTTTTTTTTTTCTCCAAGCAACTCCTACGTCTTTGCCAACAGGCCAAGAAGATGTACTATGGAGACAGCTGAAGAAACATTTCTTCTTCTGTAGGATAAGGTTGAGTCCTGCATTTGAGATTGGTGCCTTGTTGAGGATGGAGATACAGAGCTTTTCAGAGGTTATGCACAGTTTTTGTTTTGTCTCTCCTAAAGTAGGGAAACCCATTTCACTGTGAAGGACAGCATCTGTGTGGGTACAGCCCTGATCTCTTTTCCCTTCCTCCTTGTTGGAATGGGAGAATAGTGGAGTAACTCCAAGTGTCCCAAAAGGCTGGTTACAGGATTGGTAGTGCCTGCTCAGTGTGTGCCCCTACCTCAGGGGGCTCCAAACTGAAACTCAAGCAGGAATGCATTGCTTGCTGGGACACATGAAAGGGAGCAGCTCTTCTTTTTGTTTATCCCTTCCTTGTATTTCTATAGGGGAGGCACTGCCTTCTTTTTAACAGGAACTCAGTGGAAATCTTCCCATGCCAGGATAATATTGCTCCATTCCAAGTCAGAGGGAGGAATATTCTTCAGGAAGGAGGGGAAATAAAAATCTAAAACTGTTGTAAAATGGCCATTTTAAAAATTTGCTTACTTTTTGACTCTCTCATGAAGGTGAATGAGCTGCAAACGGATCATATATAATCGCAGCAGTATTTTTTCCTGTTACAGTTGTTTATTTGACATTCTCTCAAACTAATTGTTGTTGAATGTATTGTCGAAGGCTTTCATGGCTGGAATCACTAGGTTCTTGTGGGGTTTTTTTGGGCTATATGGCCATGTTCTAGAGGCATTTTCTCCTGACGTTTCGCCTGCATCTATGGCAAGCATCCTCAGAGGTAGTGAGGTCTGTTGGAATTCGGAAAATGGGTTTATATATCTGTGGAATGACTGGGGTGGGGCAAAGAGCTCTTCTCTGCTGGAGCTAGGTGTGAATGTTTCAACTGTGTGAAGAAAATCTGGCTACCAATATTAAAAAACTCAAAAATTACAACAGCAAAACAGCAGAGCGGAAACAACCAGGCACATCTTAACACCTCTCAACGAAAGATTCCCCCAGGCTCAGCCAAGCCTTCAAATGCTAATGAAGGTGGTCAGTTGAAACATTCACACCTAGCTCCAGCAGAGAAGAGCTCTTTGCCCTACCCCAGTCATTCCACAGATATATAAACCCATTTTCCTAATTCCAACAGACCCCACTACCTCTGAGGATGCTTGCCATAGATGCAGGCGAAACGTCAAGAGAAAATGCCTCTAGAACATGGCCATATAGCACGAAAAAACCCACAAGAACCTAATTGTTGTTGCTTTTTCAAAAAGCCAACATTTACCTTTCTTTGGCCTAAAAAAAGAAATATCATGAACACCGCATGTTTTGAGATTGGGGATTGTTTCCACATGCTTCAAAATACAGTCCAGAATCCTATTGATATCTTATTTAAGTTCTTCTATTGAAACAACTGGTGTTTTTGTCCAGTGTGGAACTAACACGTTCAAGTTTGCAGAAGCTGAGTTGAACATCTGATGCCATTATACATGATTGTATATTTCACATATTTCCACATGTGTGCGCACACAGATATGTATGAACATTGCACATGGATGTATAATATGGATATGTGTGTACAATTCACTATAATGATAGTATTACAGCCACTATAACTCAGGCCCCATCTACACTACTATATAATGCAGTTTGAAATGGCATTATATGGCAGTGTAGATAGGGCTTCATTGAATGTTAAGTTGCACAGCATTTCTTCAATGTAGGATCCTGGACAGATCTTCAAGTTCACAATGTTCACAACACAGCTTCTTCCATTAGTCCACCAGAACTCTTTTCTAACGTTTACTTTTTAATAATAAGATACTGTGATCCTTTTGCTGCATTTGCAATAGAAGCTTTAATCAAGAAATAACTAGTATAGAAAGGATACAAAGGTACCAACATGCATATTTAGTAATGCTGAAATCCAGTAATACTATGCATTTTAAATTTTAGTTATCTAATGCCACATATGTAAAATTATGCTCTTCTCAATAAAATTCAAGAAAAAGTCAAAATCAACAGTGACTAAAAAAACAGATAAAGAAAACACTTCATCTCTTCTAAAACTAAATCCCACAAAAGGCTAGATTTGATAAACTAAAAAAGAATTGCCCATTTAACTAATATGTAAAATTATAGAATAGTAACATGGCTATTAGTATTTCCACTTAATTCTCACTATTTTCAGTAGATGTTGCTGAAACTGTGGCGAATGAGACTTTTGATGCCACTTTGTTTCTTTTTAGTTTCTGCAAAATATTTCCTATCTGAATTTCATACACATGAAGAATAAAAGCCATAAAGATAATGCCTCCTATTGCTACAGCTGTAATTGTACTGATAAGATACTGTCCTGGAAAAGCCAGTGGAGGATCATCGACGAAAATCTGCAAGAGAAAATATGATAATTGCAAAAGATTTTTTCAATCAGAACACAACATACCATATTTCATCATATAATAGCTGCACTTTCCCCTTTTCCATAAAAGGGGGTTGCTACTATTATAAAAGGGAAAACTCCTTTTTTTGTTCCGAAACAATAATTTTAAAATACTAAACAATGTTGAAAACAACTTGAGGACATATCCAAGAGTGTCCAAAAAAACCAATTTACATAGTAAAACATTTTAATCTTCCTGCACTATTGTCATTGGTGGCATTTTTGCAAGGGGGTGATCAGTGGATAGGTGGGTGACTGAGTGAGTGAGTGAGTGAGTGAGTGAGTGAGTGAGTGTGTGCATGAGTGGGTAGGTCTGGTTCTTTGGGTGGGCAGGGAGATGGAAGGGTGAGTGAAGTGGGCAGGTGAGTGGATGGCTGAATGGATGGACTCTTACACCAGTAAATCAAGGGTACAACTATTATGCAAGGAAAACACAAACACCAAAACCAGGACTCCCAGAATATGGGTGAGACTATTACACAATGGTGACTATAATGCTATAAAATATGGTAGAGATGTTTGAGTATATATGAATGGCAGACTACTTTGTCTCAGTGGGAGTTGGAAGGTACCAAATATCAATATATCAAATACACCAGAATACCATGGAAAAGCCATTACATTGCATCTGCATAACCATGCTTCTTGAGATCCAAGAAGCATGGTTTTGGGGGTAAAATATTGTATTTATCTTATGCCTCTTAAAATAAAGAACTATCTCCAGACAATATTTCCCATTGTTTTTGTGTTACAAAAAGTCATGACTCTTTGAGTTAAGCATGCTTTTTTAAAAAGTGAAGATGACTTACAACTCAGTGATAAAGCATGTTTGACATGCAAATAGCGTACACAGGCATTTGAAGTCAAGATGGCTTTTTTGGTTTATTTCTTTGCAAGGTACCATAAGTGTAATTAATTATTTGAGAGAGAAGGTTGCAGACCTTTTGGGATCCACTTGCCCATTGTTCCACTAGGCCAACTAGTTAGCAGGTAATTAGCTTAGGTTTTTATAGGAAAATTCAGTGTAAAACATTGGACACCACTGGATACCATTGTGTGTGTGAGAGAGAACAAACTTGTATTCTGTTTTATGGTGGTTATCTAGTTCTATATTTTTGCATTACTATTAAAAAGTAGCCAATGACTGTACCTGAAATTCATCAAACAAATTGCAAAATGAGGCTCCAGGAATGGTAGATACTCTAAAATGGAAAAGCTCAGATCCCTGTTTAAAAAAAATGGTATGTAATAAACTATTGCATTTACTTGAGTTTAATAAAATGTATGTGGAAAATTAAAACACAACCTACAAACAATCTACATTCCCACTAATAAAATTCAACAAATACTATTTTCAGCAAAGGATAAGCGGGATCCTCTAACCACTGCAGGAATCTACGGTATACTATGCAGCTGTGGACAAGTTTACATAGGGACTACCAAATGCAGTGTCCAGACACATTTCAAAGAACATGAAAGGCACTGCAGACTAGTACAACCAGAGAAATCAGATATAGCAAAGCCCTTGATAAACCAACCTAGACACAGAATATTATTTGAGAACACAGAAATGCTCGACCACTCTGACAACCATCATGTCAGATTACACAGAGAAGACATTGAAATACACAAGGATGTGGACAATTTCAACAGAAAGGAGGAAACAATGGAAATGAAAAAAATCTGGTTACCAGGATTAAAAAAACACTGGAATCAAGACAGTAAATAAGGAACACTACTCCGAAACGGGAATTCCAGACAGCAAACAACAAAGTGCCAGTTAACACCTCCCAAACAAAGGATGGCTCCTGGCATAACAACCAAGTCACCTCCATGCAAATAATCCCACTGATTGATTTTGCAGCTGCAAGGCTAATAAATGCTAATTCACACATGCTTCAAACAGACAAGGGTTCTTTCTACAACCCTGGACTTTTCACAGATACATATACACCCCACTTGCCTCACTAGCAACAGAACCTCTGAAGATGCCAGCTACAGGTGCAGGCAAAACATCAGGAGGGATTGCTACATATGGCCCAAAAAACCTCACAGCAATGCAAAATTGCAACTGCTGAAAGATTACATTTAGGTGAATTAATGGAATTTGGTTAGAGACAAAATGGAAAAAGAACTGAATGGAAACTTCTAAATATCTGATTAAAACATAGAGCTGTTTTAGGGCCCTTCCAGACAGGACAAAAACACGGGGCCTGTCAAAACAATTCCTCAGGTAAAAGGAAATTAATGTAGAGTAAAATGGATTTTCCCAGTTTACTGTGCATTAACTAAAAACCTCTAAAGATCTGGACCTTCCGCAGTCTTGGGGGTCAGTCCCCACAGCTATCCCGCTTCTTCGGGCTCCCAAAATCCTGGAGGAGTGGAATGGCATCATGTATCCCCTCCCAGACCCCCATTTTGCCCTCAAAACTTACCAAGGGGCTTGCTGGCAGTGCAGTCCTCCTAATGCGAGAAAATGGCACGTCAGGAGCTGGAGGGGGAGGGATCCCCCTCCCCATCGTGATGTCATTTTCTCACAATAAGCTTTGGGGGCAAAATGGCAAGCTGGGGGGGGGGGGGTAGTTGGATGGCATCCTGGATGGCATCAACCTTTCTTTGACCTGGAGTGCCAGCTAGCTACCCCTCCCAGGGTTGGGGTTGGGGTCTAGAACTTGAGAGGAAGCGGGTTATTTTTAGCATTTTCCTCTCAGGTTTTAGCAAAGTCTAGAAGGTTCCCTAGATTTCTCTAAACGTGTGTTCTCTTGCTTTGCTGGTTGTTGTTGCCTCTTCATCCACTTTTTCATTATTTTGAGGGACTGCAGCAATCTCTACAGTTCTTATAAAGGTTTTAAAAACTAATTTGTTAATGTGACCTTATGATCTTAAACGTAAATGTTCTTCTCGCATAATGCTTTTTTTTAAAGTTGTGGTGCAAGCCCCAATTTTACTGCTTTCTATATCATCATAACTATACAGAAGAACCAAAAGTAAGAAAGAAGAAGGAAAGAGAACATTTTGTTCCAATATTACTCTGAGGTTGTTAGTAAAATGTTGCAGCTGCTGCTGAGAATTGCCAGAAAACAGAACAGGATAGCATGTACATTCAGAGCCCCTGGTGGCTCAGAGGGATAAACCCTTGTGACTGCAGGACTGCTAACCAACAGGTCAGTGGTTCAAATACAGGGAGAGCGGGTTGGGCTCCCTCTGTCAGCTCCAGCTCCCCATGCAGGGACATGAGAAGTCTCCCATGAGGATGTTAAAACATTAAAAAAACATCCGGGCATCCCCTGGGCAACATCCTTGCAGATGGCCAATTCTCTCACACCAGAAGCTACTTGCAGTTTCTCAAGTTGTTCCTGGCATAAAAAAGACACCCCCCCCCCCAAAAAAAGACCTTGAGAACTAGAGCTACAAATGTTGCAGCTTCCTGCCACAATTTTGCAGCTTCCTGCCACAATTTTGCTATTTGGAGCAGAGTTTAAGATATTTGTACAATAGCTATGCCACCATACTACTGACCCAGCTAAGGAGATATAGGTTCAAAAATGAAGGAAATCAACAAAGAGACTGTAAGGCATGAGAAAAATAATATTAGGGCCACACAGAAATGACATTTAATGTACTATTGCATTTAATATACATTTGACAGATATAGATGCCAAGCCACCATAATACCAAAAACAGGAAAAGTTTAATTCTTTCCTTTTGAATATCCCAGTAACAGCTGCCTCATGCCCAGTGCACTATTAGCACTGGGACATCCCTCAGCCAATATTGGATACACTTCCTACAAAATATCAGCAATATAGTTAGGGTCTAATCATAGTTAACAATCACATTGTGGAATTAAATATCATAGAATTAAATGTCAGACAGAGAATGAGAGGATTGTGAACAGCAAACAAGTGTACAGAGAGCGATTTACGTTTTCCTCTATTCAACTGCATTACAATTTACTTTTTGAATAGATATAGACATAGACACACACACACACACACATTTCCCTAATGCTAAGTGCTGCATGACATGGTGGTGCCATTTTCCTCAGCATAAGAAGTAGGAAAAAGTATTAAATCTCATTGCCTCCAATGCCTGGTATGTAATGTTTTAAATACCAATATTTTGAAAGATACTTGAAGGACAAATAGTATTTTTTAAAAAGAGCAACAATATTGTGATGCTGGCCTTCAGCATCCCTTGTTTTTTCACAGTGGATGTCTTAGCAATCTGAAGTCAGCTTTTACAGAAAGGATAAATAAGCATAATCTAATCTTGTCCCACATATAAAATCTTTGCATCTAGAAAACTAAATATCAAACAGACATTCTATCCAATGTGCTGCTTTAGATTTCTTTTTCTACATGGGAATATATATAATGATGGAATCATTTTCTGACTATGAGAAGTCCTATTAGTCCTAATAATCAAGGAAATGCATGCAATCTTAAAAACAATTTTACCGGCAATATTTCAAATCTTATGTTTTTCTTTCATATGAATTTTTTTAATGACATATGGAGACTCAGATCACAGATTTCGGTTCCATGATTTCTGTACTAACATGTTGACCTTTCTAGCCAAAAAACTTATTTTATTAGAAATTTACCATTATGCTTATAGTCAAGCCTTCTGGATTATACAACTCAGTGCCGAGAGAACGCTCCAAAAGTTTTTTCATTTTTAACGTACTTGATGTTAAATTTGTACCTGGAATAGATTTAAATAAATATTTGGTTGGATTGGATAGCCCTTGTGGTCTCTTCCAACTCTATCATTCTATGATTCTCTAAATCCTGCTTGTTTTTAGTTACTGAATCCTAACAAATAGACTAGGCAAATATCTGTATTGTGAAAATTATACAGGTTGCATATTCCTTATCTAAAATGCTTGGAACCAGAAGTGTTTCGGATTTTGGAATCTGGAATATCTGTGGGTTGTTGTAGGTTTTTTCGGGCTATATGGCCATGGTCTAGAGCAGGGGTCCTCAAACTAAGGCCCAGGGGCCGGATGTGGCCCTCCAAGGTCATTTACCTCGCCCTTGCTCAGGATCAACCTAAGTCTGAAATGCCTTGAAAGCACACAACAATCCTATCTCATCAGCCAAAAGCAGGCCCACACTGCCCATTGAAATACTAATAAGTTTATATTTGTTAAAATTGTTCTTCATTTTAAACATTGCATTGTTTTAAGTGTTTTTTGCACTACAAATAAGATATGTGCACTGTGCATAGGAATTCATTTTTATTTTCAAATTATAATCCGGCCCTCCAACAGTTTGGTGGACTGTGACCTGGCCCTCTGTTTAAAATGTTTGAGGACCCCTGGTCTAGAGGCATTCTCTCCTGATGTTTCGCCTGCATTTATGGCAAGCATCCTCAGAGGTAGTGAGGTCTGTTGGAAACTACCTCTGAGGATGCTTGCCATAGATGCAGGTAAAACGTCAGGAGAGAATGCCTCTAGACCATGGCTATATAGCCCGAGAAAACCTACAACAACCCAGTGATTCCGGCCATGAAAGCCTTCGACAATACATGGAATATCTGTATTTGCATATGTATAAAATGATATATTTTGGAGATAATAATAATAATAGATAATCCGATCAAAGGTGGTTCTACCAGAGTCTGAATTAGCAGGTGACTGTGAAAATGAAAAACCACAAAAAAAAAAAAACCAAAAAAAAAACAGCTATAAATGCATTCTGGAAAGATCTGTGGGAAACAGAAAAAGGTTACAACAAAAAAGTTGAGTCGATAAAAGACTTTGAATTCCCTCACACCAGAAGCGACTTGCAGTTTCTCAAGTCGCTCCTGACACGGCAAAAACAAACCAAAAAAAACAACAACCCCCCCCCCCAACATTTATCCACTTCCCTCATTCCAAAAACTTTCAGGATCTGTTTTTTTATTTTCTTTTTTTCCTTCTTTGCTATAAGTCTTCGTCCCTTTGTCTTCCTCTCCCCTTTTCTCTGATCTTGCATCTGTTGGTTTATCTTTTCCAAATTGGTTATTTTGGTGAAATTCTTTGGCCTTTGTCATTGAGTCTAGTACATATCTTCTCTCTTTAAAGTATAGAGATGTACCTCTATACACTTGATGTAAATCCTTTTCAAAGCCTACTTCGTGTATTCCCATTAAACCAAAATTTAACCACCCATTTGTGTATATCTTCATTTTTTATGCCTTTAAATCTTAAGCTTATTTTTTTCCCTCTTGCTGCCATTAATGTAAATAAACCTATTAGGTGTTTTTTTTTTCATTCTCTCAAATTTTCTTCTAAAATTCTTGTTCTTCCTTTGGATTTTTGTACTTGATGCATTTTTCATGTTTATACTCATCTGGGTAAGTGATTATTTTACTTCTTTCAATACTGTCTTTACTCTGTCTTTATTTTCTTCTCCTATTTGAATTATTTGATCTCTCATTGTTTTGATCTCTTCCAAAAAATCTGGTTTAAATCTCCAATTTTGATTAGTATTTCCATTTGATTGACGTTCTTCTTTTATAATTTTGCTTTTCCAGTCTATTCACTCTTGATTTTGTCATAGTTGTTCAATGTAATCTTTGTCTCAACTTTCAAACCAGGCAATGGCTTATGGAGTTTTATTAGTGTGCTATGGATTTTCAGGCCACAATAACTTATTCTGATAATTTCCAGCAATTATTAGTTATCCCTTCTTTCAAACAATTCAATTGGTTGTAGTCCTTCACTTCCTTGTGTTCTATATTTACACTCTTGTATCTTGTATTGATACTGGGCAACACGCAGGCCCCCTGCTTTCAAGCTGATCTGACCCGCAGCAGGGAGTTCCGCAGTTCCAAAATGTCTGGTTGGGCCAGCATCGATGGGACTGTGGCCACAGCAGCAGCCTCAACTGAAAGTCATTTTTCTGCTTTCTTTCTTTCCCCTACCCTAACATTGTAACCAATCCCCCAATAAAAGTATCCTTTAATTGTAACTTTCCTGCTCTCCATATTGATACATTGTGTCCCTTTTATTGCCTCTAAACAGCTCCTTTTCCGAGCCGCAGATCACTGCCGGCTCGCCCAGGATGCTCTTATAGCGTCCCGGGGAGGCCGAAATTGCGTTCCTCTGAACTGCAGATACAGAACCCATTGGGCCTCCGTATCCGCAGATCAACGGATCGACTCCAAACTGGTGCCATTCTTCTCCTAGACTAATTCTAAGACTAACTGCTATCTTGCTTTTTACATTATGGACCCCTGCACCCCGGGAATAACCAGTTTTCAACCAAAAACCTCATATGGAAACCAGCTGACTGCGATCCATGACTCCATGCTGCAACATTGTTCCTGCCTCCATCTCGATGGTGTCCAGAAGCCTGTCGACCCAGGAAACCTGCTGCGGTCACCCCTTGGGACTCCCGGACTGCAGACAAGCCATCCTGGTCCTTAGAAGTGATTGGATTTATAGTTTCCTCCTCCATAATGAAAGGATTCCGACCCTCAGTGCTCACAATGATCCCAGTATACACTCCATGGACTCTTATGGACATATTCCCCCCTTCTGGAAGGCTCACGGCAACAGCCAGAAAAATTGAGCGATATGAAGCTAGAGTCATCCAGTATAAACAAAATCAACTCTTCCAATCTGATCAGAGGTGGTTCTACCAGAGTCTGAATCAGCAGGTGGCTGTGAAAAATGAAAAACCAGAAAAACAAAAAAACCAAAAAAAAAACAGCTATAAATGCATTCTGGAAAGATCTGTGGGAAACAGAAAAAGGTTACAACAAAAAAGTTGAGTCGATAAAAGACTTTGAATTCCCTCACACCAGAAGCGACTTGCAGTTTCTCAAGTCGCTCCTGACACGGCAAAAACAAACCAAAAAAAACAACAACCCCCCCCCCCAATTTATCCACTTCCCTCATTCCAAAAACTTTCAGGATCTGTTTTTTTATTTTCTTTTTTTCCTTCTTTGCTATAAGTCTTCGTCCCTTTGTCTTCCTCTCCCCTTTTCTCTGATCTTGCATCTGTTGGTTTATCTTTTCCAAATTGGTTATTTTGGTGAAATTCTTTGGCCTTTGTCATTGAGTCTAGTACATATCTTCTCTCTTTAAAGTATAGAGATGTACCTCTATACACTTGATGTAAATCCTTTTCAAAGCCTACTTCGTGTATTCCCATTAAACCAAAATTTAACCACCCATTTGTGTATATCTTCATTTTTTATGCCTTTAAATCTTAAGCTTATTTTTTTCCCTCTTGCTGCCATTAATGTAAATAAACCTATTAGGTGTTTTTTTTTTCATTCTCTCAAATTTTCTTCTAAAATTCTTGTTCTTCCTTTGGATTTTTGTACTTGATGCATTTTTCATGTTTATACTCATCTGGGTAAGTGATTATTTTACTTCTTTCAATACTGTCTTTACTCTGTCTTTATTTTCTTCTCCTATTTGAATTATTTGATCTCTCATTGTTTTGATCTCTTCCAAAAAATCTGGTTTAAATCTCCAATTTTGATTAGTATTTCCATTTGATTGACGTTCTTCTTTTATAATTTTGCTTTTCCAGTCTATTCACTCTTGATTTTGTCATAGTTGTTCAATGTAATCTTTGTCTCAACTTTCAAACCAGGCAATGGCTTATGGAGTTTTATTAGTGTGCTATGGATTTTCAGGCCACAATAACTTATTCTGATAATTTCCAGCAATTATTAGTTATCCCTTCTTTCAAACAATTCAATTGGTTGTAGTCCTTCACTTCCTTGTGTTCTATATTTACACTCTTGTACCTTGTATTGATACTGGGCAACACGCAGGCCCCCTGCTTTCAAGCTGATCTGACCCGCAGCAGGGAGTTCCGCAGTTCCAAAATGTCTGGTTGGGCCAGCATCGATGGGACTGTGGCCACAGCAGCAGCCTCAACTGAAAGTCATTTTTCTGCTTTCTTTCTTTCCCCTACCCTAACATTGTAACCAATCCCCCAATAAAAGTATCCTTTAATTGTAACTTTCCTGCTCTCCATATTGATACATTGTGTCCCTTTTATTGCCTCTAAACAGCTCCTTTTCCGAGCCGCAGATCACTGCCGGCTCGCCCAGGATGCTCTTATAGCGTCCCGGGGAGGCCGAAATTGCGTTCCTCTGAACTGCAGATACAGAACCCATTGGGCCTCCGTATCCGCAGATCAACGGATCGACTCCAAACTGGTGCCATTCTTCTCCTAGACTAATTCTAAGACTAACTGCTATCTTGCTTTTTACATTATGGACCCCTGCACCCCGGGAATAACCAGTTTTCAACCAAAAACCTCATATGGAAACCAGCTGACTGCGATCCATGGCTCCATGCTGCAACATTGTTCCTGCCTTCTGGTGTCCAGAAGCCTGTCGACCCAGGGAACCTGCTGCGGTCACCCCTTGGGACTCCCGGACTGCAGACAAGCCATCCTGGTCCTTAGAAGTGATTGGATTTATAGTTTCCTCCTCCATAATGAAAGGATTCCGACCCTCAGTGCTCACAATGATCCCAGTATACACTCCATGGACTCTTATGGACATATTCCCCCCTTCTGGAAGGCCAAAACTAAGACAAGTCAAACCCGCATTTTGGACTTTAGGAGAGCTGATTTCCAAAAAATGAAGGAAACGCTGAGCAGCATTCCGTGGACACAGATACTAAAAGACAAGGGAGTTACGGATGGATGGGAATTTCTCAAGAGTGAAATACTCAAGGCGCAATTGCAAACCATGCCAACAAAGAGAAAAAATAGGACAAGTGCAAAGAAGCCAGAATGGATGTCCAAAGAACTTCTAACTGTGCTAAGACACAAAAGAGACATTCGTACAAACATTAGTCATTAATCCTATCATCTTCTCCTCCCAGTTCATTGTTTCCCGCCCGGACCGCCTCCTCCTTCCCCATTGGCCAAGAGGCCAAAGCGGCGCTGGCTCCCTCATTGGCTAAGGCGCGGCTAAGCTGGCCGCACCTCCCAGCTAGCTGATGACTCCAACCAATCAGCACGATGCCAGCAAGGAGGGCAGGAGCAGGAAATTTGAATTTTGACAGCTCTGTATTTCCTATAAAAACTGTAATATTTCCCCTTGCATGTTATGTCGGCTTTGGCAAACGATTGCAGTTTGACATCCGCTCCAGCTGGAGCAAAATAAACAACTCGGTGGCATTTTCTTCAACTTTGGTGAGATTTATTTGGGAAACTTTAGGGAAAAAATCTTTTTGCATGCTTCTTTCTCGCCAGGGTGAATGGATCCTCTTTGGTGGATCTGGCCGGCCTCTGTCTTCAAGGCAAGGCCCTCCAAATTTGTGCTCGATATCATTATGCTCTTAAGTGTTATTTATTTCACTTTGTGTAAGTACAGCATAGATGCAACCTTATAGACGTTAATTGACTTGATTTCTTTATCTGCTATCTCTATCAGCTCAACTTTATCTTTTTGAACATGCTCTTTGTTTATTCAGCTTGTGTTCTTGGCAGCAGATGTAGACCAAACAAAACAGGACACTGGTATTAAGTAAGTTTTCCAAGGTCCCCCATTAATTGTACATGCACCACGCAAATTGGTACAATAAAACCAATTCTCCAACTCGTCCTTTTCAACTTCCCTCAATCTAGGGGAGATTTTCCACTATTTAACAGTGGTTGTTTTGCATCAGACACCTCATTTTGCTTCTCCTTTTCAGAGAATTGCAAGAAGAGGATTGCACTCCTCTGCCACCAGAACAGCAGCCCATTTATGTTTTAATATACATCTTATACACATAACTTAAATGTGATTTTATACAATGTATTTTAAATTTTTGTCCATGAAACAGTATTTGTATAGATTGAACCATCAGAAAGCAAAGGTGCTATCTTAGTTACCCATATGAATATTTTTGGATTTCAGAGTATTTCAGATTTCCAGATAAACTATTTCAAGAGTAAACCTGAAATAACAAATCCCACTTTTCACTGTAGAGATTTTTCCTTTTCTTGTAAAAAGAATTTATTGTACTGCCAGCACCCATCCCAAATTCCCACAGCATTATAATGCTCTGATGTTACAATTATGTGCAACAATGTTTTTCAGATGGGAAGTGGATACTTCTGAACCTTTTCTATTCCTTACCTGAAACTCTCCAGTTTGTTCTATTGTTGACTTCTACAATTGTGATAAAATAAGGAGATGTCATGTTCTGAGATTTACCCTCATCCTCCACAGTAAAATAGAGTGGAAGTTTTAATACTGGAAATTTCATTCGCAGAGCCTAAAAATTAAAGTTAAATAGGTAAGATTTGTAATAAAACAATGTTACCAAAATGGTTATCACCTGTAATGCATGAATTTCAGTAAGATATCATGAATTTAAGTTCATATGTTATTCGGATTAGTTTTGCTAGAGAGGAGAATGCAACACTTTTGAAAAAAGTGATTCTGCTTCTAGTGAGGCCTCAATGATGCATTTGTTCTAGGGCTGACTTTCCATTGGACAGAGGACAAATTTAAACTAGCATCTCTCTGCAGAAGGTAGCAATTCCCACATTCCAAAGGAATGTGGACTCCTAAGGGTAGGTCTAAGAGTTTAGTTTCCTATTTAAGAACTGGTGAGAAATGAAAGGAGACTGTTTCAAAAGCAGCCTGAGTGTTCCTTCACCAAGCAGGAGGTCCCATATCAGAGCCACAGCAGTGAATCAAGGGAAAGTAAGTTACTGCCCATTGCAAAGGGCAAAGAAGCCTGTGTCTTTGAGGACATGGCAGCCTGGAAGGAGGCAGTGGGTTTGTCCAGCAAGAAAACAAAAGGGGGTGGGCGTCACCCTGGAGCAACTTCCCCGCATAGGCAATACATTTCAAAGTTGAAGAAAATGCCATACTGGCCTGAGTAGGATAAACAAAGGTCCCAGAACACAAGTTGGAATTGCAGTCTGTTAGAGTAGTCAAACTGGAGTCCTTGAGTCAAACCAATAGTTGTTTCAGAAGAGTAGAGAACACAGAATTGTTACTGCTTTTGCAGACAAAAGGAACTAAGGCCTCAAGCCCTGCTGCCTGGCTTTATTACTGAAGTGGATGGGCGGGGCTGGAGTCCCTGGTTTGGCAAAAGCTTTTCAATAAGGATCCAAATCAGCTGCGTGGACACAGGAAATACCAAAGGTGTGGATTTCACAGTGACCACGCTGAAGAAGAGCACACGCAGTTGTATAATGCAAAAGAAAGCAAAGAAGTCTTAATGCAGACACAATACTCAAGTCTCTGATAAAGTCCAAAATAAAACAGCAGTCTCACATCAGAAAACGGGCAATAACCAATAAATCCTTTGAAGCAGTTTCTCAAATGCATACTTGAAGCAAGTACAAATGGTGAGCAAAGGCATAAGCATCAGAGTCGTTTGTTACCAGCGAAAGCTAACTACTCCTGCTTCTGATTTATACCCTGAATTCAGCATGCAGGAGTTGCTAGGACAGTTTCTAATTACTTTGGTGTTTCTGGCAGCTATTCTAGCTGAACGGTGTCTTTGCTCTGTTTCCTTTTGCATTGCAGAAATGTGGGCACTTGCAAGACCTCATCCTCTGATTTTAATTCCCCCTCTAATTCCTGAACACTTTTTGCTCCCCTTCCTCTTCTGAAGATGTGGAATCCCTAACAACTCATCCCAACCTGTCTGATGTTCCCTAATGCTGCCCTGCATTACAGCTTCTTAAACTATGGGTGGGGATACCCAATTAGAGTACCCATAATTGTATGTGAGATTTTAAATGTTTATATTGATACGTTTTTAATTCCATGTTTTAATGTTAAATGATGTCATGTTTTATGAGTTCATTGATAATTGTATGTTGCTGTTGTTATGTTTGGTTTCTGTATGTGAAGCATTAAATTTTGCCATAATTATGTTGGAAACCGCTTTGAGTCCTCCGCTGGAGTGAGAAAAGCGGCATACAAGTGAAATAAATAAATAAATAAAATTTGGGGGGTGGCTTTCTCTCCTGTATGCACGTGTCTCCCTGCCTTACCTTCTGTGTCCTGTACCTTTAAAGTCCTATATGATTTAAAACCAAGATGACTCGAAGAAAATGAACTTCCATATCTGTCAAGGATGCAGAGTCAATGACTTGACAGCAAAGTCAGTCAGGCATTGAAAGAATCTCTTTAATCTTTAAAGCAACAGGGAATACCGAGACCAGTCCGAGTTCAATACACAGGCAGCTCACAAATACATCCAAAAGCAGTCTAAGGTCATACACGGGAGGTAGTCCAAATACAGTAGCAGGCAAAATACATTGTCCAAATATTCAGTCTGAGGTCAAAACACAGCTCACCAAAACTCCATATAGCATAACGCAGATCCAGGAATCTGAATCACTGGCTCACAGTATCCAAAATAATGATTGCTTCCAGCAGAAAACAATTGCTTCCTGAAGATCTTCCTTCTGCCTTAACTTACTTGTCCCTTCAGAGACCTGCTCCTGCATAGCAGTATCATTTTCAAGCAGGATCAACTGTTTTTCCGCCATAGGCTCTTCTTCAGCTACTGGTAGGCAAATCCCTTCCTCCTCCTCCTCCTGACCCACGGTCCAGAGAATACCAATCTGCACCAGTACTGAGATCATATTTGCAGGCTCCTTTCTAAAGAACTCATCAAATGCAGTAAGAAGAGTGTCTTCTCCCTATTTCTCTCTGCTACTGGCACAGAGTCCCCTGGAGCCCATCACATGACGCAGGGCTATTTCCAGCAGGACTCTGTGGGGCTCCGTGACAAGAGCTTTATGGCAGTGGAGCCCAAAGGGTCAGGTGTACACCTGACTCCTCACTGAAGAACAAAAGAGGAACCAAAGAGAAAGAGGGGACAGGTGGGGAAACTCTGTGGGAAGGCAGAGGATGGACCACGGCGGGAGGGAACAGAGCCTGACATTTCTCTCCACTGCCCCACAATTTTCCCCACTGTCCCCCACTTAGGACTTTATCAGACAGGCAGAAGTAAAGTCCTAAGTGTCCCTACCAAAAAGCATGAGGTAATGCTTCTTGACTGTAGGATCTCTTTTATAAAATTGTCACTGCAGATAACTGTGTGTTAACTATCTCTCTGACACCAGGTGAACATTGTTTTTATTCACCAAATGTAATTGCTTATTATATTTGAGTATAATTGTCATTTTTGATTAAAAAATACATAATTTTGTGTATATATACATTTTTTTCAAATTTTGTAGAATGTAGTTCTTACCTTCTCTTTACAATCTGAAAAGGCTACAGAAAATGACACCTTCATATTTGAAGTACATTTGCAATCAGCTCGCGTTGTCTTGTTAGCGCATTGCTTGTACTTTCCAGTAGCCTGTGGGGAAAATATGCAAAATAAGTGTGTTTCAATTTCTGCCATTATTCAGAAATATTAAGAATAAAGGATAAATACACAATGAAATTTTCTGTTTTATTTACACAGTAGAAATAACAGTACAAACAATATTTAATTTTAACTAATACTCAAGGTAAACATGATTTGACCTCTGACTAAACAGTCGTTTCAAAATTTGTACATACGTTTCAAAGTATGCCCTAATCTCTATCCCAGTTCTATGAAGTATAGATAATTATATGGAATAGCAAATAGATTATTAAACCACGATTATCTGAGCATTCTGTGATGTCCCTTGAAGAATTTTATGAATACATATAACATTTTTTGCATGGAAGACCAACAGAGGTAAAGTCTGTAGAAGATGATAGCAGGTTGAATAGGCTTTGAGCCAAATTATATTAGGACAAAATGCATGCAAAACTTTGGGTCACACAGAAATAACATATGGTAAGTGAATTACAAAATTATTATTTTTATGAGATCTCTTTTGACTACATATTTTGATTGCGCATACGTATGTGAAAAGCAGTTTTATAGGACAATCTTTTTTAAATGTCTGCAATCAAACATTTTACAGCAGTAGTTATTCTTACTTACTTTTGATCCTGAAAAATAGTCTCTCGTTCTGGGTTTGCTAGGGTCAACATTATAAAAATTTTCTGTGAGTGGAACAGCTATTCCCAGGACTGAAGGTGGTCTGTAGTTCACCTACATAAAAAGGAAAAGTGATTGAAAAAAATGACTGATGCTCTGCTTTATAACATTTTCTAACTTCAATTGATTTTAGCAAAATTACTCTTATTTAACTGATGCTTAAAATATCTGCCAGACTTTACTTACAGGCATAGAATATCTTTCACATGCCACATCTGGGATATTCTTACTATCAGCTAGAAAGCTAAACTTGCCATTTTGTCTGGGTTACAGTAGAACATAGAACTCCCTTGTGGCAAAACATAGAAGTTTTGCCACAAGCTCTACAGTTTGCTACGATAACCTCTTTTCTAGACACTTATTCTTTTTGTAAACTGTGTTATGTATATAGTTATATGGTGGCATAAATACTTAAAATAAATCATTATTTTCTGTAAGCTGTAATGCATGGGGTGGGGTAGAAAAAATGGGTGTGATGTGTTGTCAAAGGCTTTCATGGCCAGAATCCTACTTAAGAAATGATCTATTTGGGTTGCTGTGAATTTTCTGGGCTGTATGGCCATGTACCAGAACCATTCTCTCCTGACATTTTGCCCACATCTATGGCAGGCAAAATGTCAGGAGAGAACGCTTCTGGAACATGACCATCCAGCCTTGAAAATTCACAGCAACTCAATGGGTGTGATGCTAGGAGCCATTATGTCGAAATGGGAGTATGATCAACACTGAGGGCAACAATTTCTATAGACATTGGAATGAAGATACAGATGAAGCAGGGACAAGTCATATTGAAATGGAGGAAGGATAAGGCATTGGTTTATCTCATCATCCTCCTATAACCTTTATATATTTCCAGACAGATGATGATGATGATGATGATGATGATAAACTTTATTCATATTCTTCCCTATCTCTTCTGGGGGACTCAGGGCAGATTCTAACAAACAAAAAGGCAAATATTCAATGCCTCAATAAAAGTAAATACAAGTATAAAAACCCAAAATAACCCCACATAAAGAGCAACTTAAGCATAATTTCGCTGTATCTTATGAGAAACAAACCAAGTTAAAGACTTTGGGTTGCTATTGTTGTTGTTATACAACTTGAATTAGTTTCTGACTTATGGTGACTCTAAGGCAAATTTGTCAAAGATTTTTCTTGGCAACATTGTTCAGGGAATTTGCTTTTGTCATTCTCTGAGTTTGAGAGAGTGTGACTTTCCCAAGGTTACCCAATGGGTTTCCATTACCACCGAGGATTCAAATCCCACCCTCCAGAGTTGTAATCCAATCACACCACAATAGCGCTTTATTAAAATATATAGCGAGCCAAAAATAACTATGAATATCCTGTAACATTGCATGAAAACAACATTTCTTCCAGTCAGGAGGCACAAACAGATAAATAATTCATGTAGAATCCCAAACAGTGAGTTCATTTGAGGTTGGATAATTTCTACTCTTTAATAATTTGTAGCTATTTAAGTAAAAAAAAAAACCCAAGGGAAACAAGAAGTGTGCATCCACAATCTGAAGTTTGGAAAACACTATCATTAATTTGGCATTACAGTTCCAATTTGAGAGGTCTAATTACAAAGATAAAAACATCTATTTACGTATTTATTTTGTCATCTTTTCTGAGTTTTGCTAAAGCAAACGATTTTTTTCCGTGTCAGGAGCGACTTGAGAAACTGCAAGTCACTTCTGATGTGAGAGAATTGGGTGTCTGCAAGGATGTTGCCCAGGGGATGCCCAGATGTTTTGATGTTTTACCATCATTGTGGGAGGCTTCTCTCATGTCCCTGCATGGGGAACTGGAGCTGGCAGAGGGAACTCATCCACGCCCTCCCTGGATTTGAACCTCCAGCCTGTCGGTCTTCAATCCTGCTGGCACAAGGGTTTAACCATTGTGCCAGCAGGGGCTCCAAAACAAATATGTACCTGCATGGGGAGCTGGAGCTGACATAGGGAACTCATCCACGCTCTCCCCGGATTCAAACCTCCAGCCTGTCAGTCTTCAGTCCTGTCAGCACAAGGGTTTAACCCATTGCGCCACCAGGGGCTCCAAAACAAACAAACAAAATGTACTAGAGAAACTGGGGGAATGGTGATACATACGCCGTGAGGAGAGGCGGGTAAGAAATAAAATTATTATTATTACTATTAGGTATTATTGATATTATTATATCAATTCCACAAATCACGGTTATGTTAGCTGGACTCTAATGTCTTGTTTGTTGACTTGGCCTTGAAATTATGTATTTTGCGGTGGCATATTACATCACTCCATCTTTGCTGTTTGCCTGCCTAGAGCTTTTAGGAAAGATCAGCAATGAAATGAACCATCTGGCATACAAAGTTCAGGATCCTTACCGGCAGGTTCTTTAAAAGTCTAGAACCTTCTGTGATATTGTGCTTATAAACAGATCCATTAGATAGCCAATCCTCTTCATTGATTTCAACAGGCAGAACATAGTGCATTGTTTTAAGATAGGAGCAGGAATTCTTCATAGTTAAGATTATAGTTGTGACATCACAAATAAGGGACGCATACCTAATTATCACAGCGATTGAGGTTTTACCCTAGGGATATTTATTAAAGCATAAAATTAAGTTATTTCCAACATGAATGAACAATTAACTCCACCTTCCCCTGCCCATCGCCACACAGATTAAAGTAATACCTTAATGCTGATTTGACCACATTGTATATATGAAAAATATACAGGGTTAGTCAAAATGAATAGGCCAATAAGAAAATTAATTTTAGACGAATGTATGTTTATTGTAACCAAACTACAGCTACGTAGCGACAGATAAACTATCAAAGTTTTGTCTCACCTTCAGAGATGTTCGATATGGGCGCCCCGTGTGACACGGCAGATGTCCAAGCGATAGTCCAGTTCATTCCACATCCGTTGCAGCACATCCGACGTAATGGCATCGAATGCAGCAACGTCTGGGAAGGTGTTCGTTGAGGTCCTAACCCTAACCCTAACCCTAACCCTAACCCTAACCCTATCCCTAACCCTAACCCTAACCCTAACCCTAACCCTAACCCTTGAAATTCTCGCTGGACCGTAATTACTGACATTGTTTTAGCAAATGTCATCACACAAAACGCCTTCTCTTTGCCTGATTCCGCCATTTTGAAAACAGCGACCCCTAGCGACGCCTAGCGGCATTAACGTACATGTGTGTTGCTCAAAAAAAACTTTGATAGTTTATATGTCGCTACGTAGCTGTGGTTTGGTTACAGTAAACATACATTCGTCTAAAATTAATTTTCTTATTGGCCTATTCATTTTGACTAACCCTGTATAACAGAGAAAGTTCCAGATACAGTTTTTCTTTGAGATCATTCAAAACATATTATTTCACAAATATCTAATCCATGTGAATATTTTAATATATTTATCTACTACACTACTACATACTTACCCATGCAAGACAACATTCCTAATCCAACTCAATTTAGCTATGAAATGGTCTTAGTGGTATCAGTTGAATAAGAAAGGGTTTTTTAAAAAAAATTATAAGAGTTGTTCTTTTCATGGTTATCTGCACAGTAACACAAACGAATTCTGGATCTGTACAACACTTTCTTCTATTGCTAATATTTTTTACAGGAGCCCCACTGCCATCAACTATGCATGTTCAAAGGGGTTTTGTTATTTCCACAGAGTTGCTAGACCATCCAGCTGCAAGAAAACTAAGAGCATCTAGCACTTCCTATGACAAAAGTGAGGAGGAAGCTGAGTTGTGTATATATACAAAATAACACCGGACAAAACAATTAACTTGTTCTTCATTGTAGCTTATCTATATCCATGTGAATGAGAAACAAATGAGTACCTTTAAGGTTGCACATGACGCTAAAGACTTCATCAGATGGTCTTCTGCTCTGCAGAAATGGGAGCCCCACGGAAGCCATCAAATGATGTAAAGGGACTCCGTGGGGCTTCATTTTTGCAGCACATGGAAACGGAACATGAAGATGGTCTTCAGGAATTGGGTGTTATGCAAACTACTGAATGAAGAATGAGGAGTAAAGCAGGGGAAATGATGGGGTAAGACGCAAACAGTATGTGGTATGGCTGGCCATCCCACAAGACATGGAAAGCTGGGAGGGAACGGGATGACCTGGTTCCCTATGCTTCCCCACGCTAAATGTGATGACGATCTATCAGCCTAAGCAGTGTTATCTAATCAGTAATGGTGCAAACACGTAAAACTGAAACCATGTAGTTTCATGCCTTAATCAGTATCCTTTTGTGAGGAAAATAATGAAGATAACTGACCCAGGTGGGACATGCAGGCAGAAGCTCAACCTGTCCCCTTCCCCAGTCAGATTCAGCAGTCCCAGAACAGGGAGAAGAGCCAAACTTTGAAGCAGTTAAACTTAATCTGCTGGAAAAGATTTGACAGCTAAATTAGCTGACAGAATTTAAGATACAACTGAAGACCTACCTTTTCTGGCAGGCTTACACAGTATGTTATTATTTGTCTCATGTATTTTAACTTTCAATGTATGCTTTTATTGAACGTATTCTATTATGATGATGCCGTGTTTAAATTGTGCTATAACCCACCTTGAGCCATAAAGAGAGTTGGGTAATAAAATTACTATTGTTAAATTATTATTATTATTATTTATTAAACCAAAGTTCTCCCCACCAATTTGGGCAATAAGAAATCTATTAGTGTAATTTAGTAAGTCTCCTGATAGCAATCCATCCCACTGCAACTAGAATACAGGTAGTTTAATCCTTGTGTATTCCGATAATTATATCATATCAATCCACAAAACCTGTCAACCTATAGGCTTAAATTTGCTTCCATGCTAATTCTATACTCTCAGGCTGCCTCTAAAATAAATGTAACTACAGATCAACAACATAACTTACCAACCTACAATTTTCAGAATGTTGTTACAGAAAACATTGTAAACTAGTCTGGATCAATGTGCTGGGGTGTTACATTTATTTATATTATATCAAGACATCTTGAAAAAGTTTGGTATTTGTTACCTTTTCGAAAAATCTACTCTGAACAGTGATATGAATTACATAACTATCACTGTCGTCCCAGTAATCCGTTGTATCCACATCCAGGAGAGTTGGCCTTCCAACTACTACCCTCATTAGTTGCCTATGGAATACCTGATAGGCTGTGAAATGAGACAATGAAGATAGTGCTTATTTCCTCTCTTTCTTTTCCCTTGGAAAACATTGTACAAGAAAAATATGTTCTGGGAGTACAATCAGAACAAAAATAGTTAAATATTTTGACTAATTCCAATGTAAATTTCTATCGTATTTACTGGTATAGGAAAGCATATTAAAATGCTATAGGGATTAAAAACTCATGTTTATGTGGTTGGCTATAACTACAACCTGAATGTCAATATGATATCCACCTGCTATAAAATATCTGATCAGAATCAAATAGTGAGATTGGTACTGCTTCTGTCAGTAGAACTATGAGACCATTTATGCCCCAAACTGCTCAACACACTGGGAAACCGACATTTGAGGACCCACATTTTGCACATAGGAGGTAAAGGATGGAAAGTTTCGTTGAACAAACAGTCAGGCACTTGCAAGCTGTTGGATTTATGTTGAAAGGCATTTAAGCTACTTTTAAATAGGATCCCGCTATCCGGTATTATTTTTGAGAATTCATAAAGAACAGCTAGTCTCAGAAGATTGAAGCAGAAGAATACATATTACTCATATATATAAGTATAAGCCAGGGATTTTTTTGGTTGAACCCCCCCCCCCGAGTTTATCATTAAGTCAAGGTTATTTATTATTTTACTCTGTTATTATTATTTTTATTACATTTATTATTTTACTCTAATAATAGTAATAATAATAATTGCATTTACATTATTTTACTCTATTTATTATTACTCTATTATTATTATTATTATTATTATTATTATTATTATTACATTTCCACTCTATTTTTATTATTTTATTACATTTATTATTTTACTTTATTATTATTGGAAGGATATGTAAGCAAAATGTCCAAACAGTAAGTTGCTGACTCACTTCAAGCACTATTGAATGAAACTGTTATTCTTAATTCAGTTTTCATGCTCTAAGGGAAACTGTTTTGGTTCCCTTCTTGCTGAAAAAAGGGGGATGCGTTTGTGTGTGAATTTAATATTTCAAAATATAATTACAGGATTGCTAACAGGAACTGGGCAATATGTACATATATCAATGCATTTTGGTGCTGTTGAGTGTCATGATCATTTTTTTTAAAGATACAGGGGACTAGCATCAGGCCATGGAGTGCTGTAGGACATGTTGCCACTAACATCTGCACAACCATATTGGGCTTGTATCGATTAAGTATATGCACAAAGACTGCATATAGTTTCTACAGGTCTTGTTAGGTACATACATGTAGTTGAGAAATATATTTGGCTGTATTTTTGATATCGTTAACAATGAACACTTACACTGAAAGTACAAGAAAAGCACATGAAGAGTTTTTCTTTACATATTATAAAAGACCGTTATGTCTGTTTGATAAAGACTAATGAATAATAATAATAATAATAATAATAATAATAATAAAGAAAGTAACAACAATAATAATAAGTAATAATAAAGAAAGAAATTGATTACCTTACCTACATTAACTGGGGTTACTCGGAATGAAAACTCTAGTTGTGATCCAATATCCAAGTATTTAATTGCATGGAGAGGTAAATCATCAAACTGTTGAATTGTATATCTACATATGTCAACAATAATTCTCCATTTTCTTCCATTCGTAGTGCCAAAATCATACAAAAACCATTGGTCAGGTGGAGTACCACGGCCTGTAACCACTTGATTAGGCATAACTGCATGTCCTAAAGTTTCAGTGTCATTCACAAATTGAATAATCAAGAAACTGCTCATTCCTGGAATCACTACTGTTTTCTCTACATCCGTTGGTTTAAATATGTTAGTAGCTGGAGATAAATATATTTTAAAAAAAATCAAAACACAGATTGCACAAAAACATGCATTCAACTTTCAACACTAATATAGATGTGTCTAATTTAAATGGAAAAAAACCCTGACTTACAGCCAACTCCACTTTGTCATCACATCAACTGGAATGAGGCAGCAGCGTTTTTCCTATTTCCTGTTCCCAAGTCTTCCCCTTTCTTGTTAATTAATTAATTAATTACCAACATTTGTACCCCGTCCTTCTCAACCCCCGAAGGGGGCTCAGGGCAGCTTACATCAGCAACAAATCAATGTCAACACGTACAGAATACATACACAATATATCACAACATTGCACATTAAATAAAACCATTAAGTTAAAATCCATTTTAAAACATTATTAGCAACCATGTAATCAAATCCAATCCAATTCATCGTTCAAGGACTTTATCAGAGCCTGTCCATTGTCTGTTCACATAAACATTGCAATGGCTATCAAGCCTGCTCCCCAAATGCCTGGTCCCAGAACCACGATTTAAGCTTCTTCCTGAAGGAGAGGAGGGATGGAGCTACACAGGCAAATCATAAGTAGTCTCACACTAGAGCAGAGGGAACAGAAAAATTGCAACCATAGCTGGCAGGCACCTTGTTTTCCAAAATGAGGGATTTTAAAGATGAGAAAACCATTGACACTGTCATTCCAGCTACAGTATTTGCAAAATAAAATGCATGTGAGGCAAGAGGATATGCTGGTAGTAATGCAGCTACCTCCAGCAAAGGATCACCGCCTTGTCGGGGCGCTGGAGCTTGAGCACCTCAATGATGTCATGAGCGAAACCGTGAAGGGACACCCAAGACGGGACGGTTGTGGCAGAGAGGTCAGACCAAGCGTGATCCCTGGGGAAGGCAATGGCAAACCACTCCAGTATCCTTGCCAAGAAAACTAAATGGACCAGTACAACCAGAGATATGTCGGTATGCCATTGGAAGATGGGACTCCCAGGTCGAAAGATGGCCAAAATGCTACTGGGGAGGAGCAGAGGATAAGTTCAACTAGCCCCAGATGTGATGACGCAGCTAGCTCAAAGCCGAAAGGAAGGCTAGCGGCCGACGGTACTGGAGGTGAACGACGAATCCGATGCTCTAAAGATCAACACACCATAGGAACCTGGAATGTAAGATCTATGAGCCAGGGCAAATTGGATGTTATTGGCGAGATGTCAAGACTAAAGATAGACATTCTGGGGGTCAGCGAACTGAAGTGGACTGGAATGGGCCACTTCACATCAGATGACCACCAGATCTACTACTGCGGACAAGAGGAACATCGAAGAAATGGAGTAGCCTTCATAATTAATAAGAAATTCGCTAAAGCGGTGCTTGGATACAACCCAACAAATGACAGAATGATCTCAATTCGAGTGCAAGGAAAGCCTTTCAACATTACAGTGATCCAAATATATGCCCAACCACAGCTGCTGAAGAAGCAGAAGTAGATCAGTTCTATGAGGATCTGCAGGACCTACTGGATAATACACCAAAAAGAGACATTATTTTCATTACAGGAGACTGGAATGCCAAGGTGGGAAGTCAAATGACAACTGGGATCACAGGCAAGCATGGTCTGGGAGAACAAAATGAAGCGGGACGCAGGCTGATAGAATTTTGCCAGGAAAACGCGCTGTGTATAACGAATACTCTCTTCCAACAACCTAAAAGACGGCTTTACACATGGACCTCACCAGATGGTCAACACCGAAATCAGATTGACTACATCCTTTGCAGCCAAAGGTGGCGGACATCCATCCAGTCGGTGAAAACAAGACCTGGGGCTGACTGTAGCTCAGATCACGAACTTCTTATTGCTCAATTTAGAATAAAACTAAAGAGATCAGGGAAAATACACAGACCAGTTAGATATGATCTCACTAACATTCCTAGCGAATATACAGTGGAACGTGAAGAACAGATTTGAAGGACTAGATTTAGTAAACAGAGTCCCAGAAGAACTATGGACAGAAGTCCGAGACATTGTTCAGGAGGCGGCAACAAAGTACGTCCCAAAGAAAAAGAAACCCAAGAAGGCAAAATGGTTGTCTGCTGAGACACTGGAAGTAGCCCAAGAAAGGAGGAAAGCAAAAGGAAACAGGGATAAGGGGAGATATGCCCAGTTAAATGCGCAATTCCAGAGGTTAGCCAGAAGAGATAAGGAAATATTTTTAAATAAGCAATGCATGGAAGTGGAAGAAGACAACAGAATAGGAAGGACAAGAGACCTCTTCCAGAAAATTAGAAACATTGGAGGTAAATTTCAGGCAAAAATTGGTATGATAAGAAACAAAGATGGCAGGGACCTAACAGAAGCTGAAGAGATCAAGAGAAGGTGGCGAGAGACTATACAAAAGATCTGTATAGGAAGGATAATAATATTGAGGATAGTTTTGACGGTGTGGTGAATGAATTAGAACCAGACATCCTGAGGAGTGAGGTTGAATGGGCCTTAAGAAGCATTGCTAACAACAGGCAGCAGGAGACGACGGGATCCCAGCTGAACTGTTTAAAATCTTAAAAGATGATGCTGTCAAGGTGATGCATGCCATTTGCCAGCAAATATGGAAAACACAAGAATGGCCATCAGACTGGAAAAAATCAACTTATATCCCCATACCAAAAACAGGGAAATGCGAAAGACTGCTCAAACTTCCGTACAGTGGCCCTTATTTCTCATGCCAGTAAGGTAATGCTCAAGATCCTGCAAGGAAGACTCCAGCAATACATGGAGCGAGAGTTGCCAGATGTTCAAGCTGGGTTTAGAAAAGGCAGAGGAACGAGAGACCAGATTGACAATATCCGCTGGATAATGGAGAAAGGCAGGGAGTTTCAGAAAAACATCTACTTCTGCTTCATTGACTATTCTAAAGCCTTTGACTGTGTGGATCATAATAAATTGTGGCAAGTTCTTAGTGGGATGGGCATCCCAAGCCACCTTGTCTCTCTCCTGAGGAATCTGTACAAGGACCAAGTAGCAACAGTCAGAACTGACCACGGAACAACAGACTGGTTCAAGATTGGGAAAGGCGTCCGGCAAGGCTGCATCCTCTCACCCAACCTTTTTAACTTGTATGCAGAACACATCATGCGATGTGCGGGGCTTGATGAATGCAAAGCTGGGGTGAAAATTGCTGGAAGAAACATTAACAACCTCAGATATGCAGATGACACCACCCTGATGGCCGAAAGCGAGGAGGAGCTGAGGAGCCTTCTAATCAAGGTGAAAGAAGAAAGCGCAAAAGCCGGGTTGCAGCTAAATGTCAAAAAAACCAAGATTATGGCAACAAGAATGATTGACAACTGGGAAAATAGAGGGAGAAACCGTGGAGGCCGTGACAGACTTTGTATTTCTAGGTGCAAAGATTACTGCAGATGCAGACTGTAGCCAGGAAATCAGAAGACGCTTACTTCTTGGGAGGAGAGCAATGTCCAGTCTCGATAAAATAGTGAAGAGTAGAGACATCAGACTGGCAACAAAGATCCGCCTAGTCAAAGCCATGGTCTTCCCTGTAGTCAACCTACGGATGTGAGAGCTGGACCTTAGGGAAGGCTGAGCGAAGGAAGATCGATGCTTTTGAGCTGTGGTGTTGGAGGAAAGTGCTGAGAGTGCCTTGGACTGCGAGAAGATCCAACCAGTCCATCCTCCAGGAAATAAAGCCCGACTGCTCATTGGAGAGAAAGATACTAGAGACAAAGTTGAAGTACTTTGGCCACATCATGAGGAGACAGGAAAGCCTAGAGAAGACAATTATGCTGGGGAAAGTGGAAGGCAAAAGGAAGAGGGGCCGACCAAGGGCAAGATGGATGGATGGCATCCTTGAAGTGACTGGACTGACCTTGAGGGAGCTGGGGGTGGTAACGGCCGACAGGGAGCTCTGGCGTGGGCTGGTCCATGAGGTCACGAAGAGTCGGAGACGACTGAACGAATGAACAACAACAATGCAGCTACTAGTAAGGCTTTCCATATCAGGGCAAATTTTGCTGGGCAGACAGATGAAATATACCAAACAGCTACTGGGCACTAGCAATTGTGAGGGGTGGCACTGGTGGAAGATCTCTCAAGGGACAATGACAATGACATCATAGCAAATACTTGTCAATACTGTGTATAAGGAGGCCTGGTAAACCCCATTTCAGATTTCTTTACCATGTAAACTCTATGATGAGACGATCTAAGAAGAAACAAGAGAGAATGCCAGAAGATGAAACTATGAAGCCAAAAAGCATTCAGTGAACTATTGGGGGAAAGTAAAGGACAATTACAAATAGGACTGAGGCTAATGATGGTACTGGAGCTAAAAGGACTTACTATGGTAAGTACATTCTAAAAAGAGTTTGCCTTGCCTGCTACACAGTACTAGTAAATATTCTCTATGGTGCCACTGCTTCTGGAAGACTGGCGAAGTGGGTTAAACCGCTGAGTTGTCCACAGCTGCATGGTAGCTGTGGACACAGCTGCATAGTATACGGTACAGGCCAATGGATACTCTATCTCAGACATCAGGAGAGCGGCAAGACCAAGAACAAGCCACGAGAGTAAAGATGAAGATCCACCCAGAGGAAAAGTGTTCTTGCCATACATCAAGGGAACCACTGACCGCATAGGGAAGCTGATGAGGAAACACAACATACAAACTATCTACAGACCCACCAAGAAAATCCAACAAATGCTACGTTCAGCAAAGGACAAGAGGGATCCTCTCACCTCTGCAGGAGTCTACCGTATACCATGCAGATGTGGACAAGTCTACATAGGGACCACCAAACGCAGCGCCCAAACACGAATCAAGGAACATGAAAGGCACTGCAGACTACTTCAACCAGCGAAGTCAGCCATAGCAGAGCACCTGATGAACCAGCCTGGACACAGCATATTATTTGAGAACACAGAAATGCTGGACCACTCCAACAACCACCATGTCAGACTACACAGAGAAGCCATTGAAATCCATAAGCATGTGGACAATTT